ATCTTTCTAAATCTTTATGTTTCTGTGTGTGTTGAAATTAAATGGGATGATGTATGTGTTTCTGTTGCAAAGTGAGCGGGGAAAGCAACTATTGAAGCAAGGCAAAAGGGTAAAAAAACCCAGCTTGTGACACTTGGCAAATTGCCATTTTTTAAAAAATTCCCGTTAAATTTAGTCACGACAACTGTTCTATGGCTACACTGGGACAGAGAGGTCTATTATAGGAAGGGCGTTACTAAAGCCTATAATAGGAAGAAGCTGAAGTGAAATTCCCAATGACTAAATTAAGATAGAGCTGTGTACAATGAAGAGCAAAAAGATATTTTTATTATTATTATTTTTATTATTATTATTATTATCTCGCCTTACATAGTAAGACAGCCAGCATGATTTAATACAGAACTTTCCAAACTGTGTGTCATAACATGCGAGTTTGTTGATGGCACTATGTAGGAGTGTTACATAAACGTAAGGAGAAATGACAAAAAAATCTTGGAAATGTATATTATCTTACAAACCATATATTTTAAAAATATAAATGAAATGTTTTCCTGAGATATGTTGTGTGTCCTCATACATTTTGCTATCGCAATTTTATGTATGTGTCCGTATCTTTTAAAGGGGTTGGTTTAACCTCCAATTTGCTAATAAAACTGAATGAATGTGTCGCAAAATATGAGTTAAGGCAAACTGTATTTGAGAGAAAAAACTGGTAAAACCATCTTTAAGTATTCCTTGCTCAAAACACAAATTAAACAAAAAACAAAAACCTGTGAAATTCACAGTGTTGCCATAAGTTGACAGGCAATATGAAGATACAAACACACAAAGAATGAGAAGGTTCTGAGTATTTCCAAGTGCTACATCTGATTGGCTATGTGGTGCAATGAATTCAGTCACTTTATGTCAGACTGCATGGAATCCTAGAGTAAATAAGCATTTTCAAGTTATAAAAATATCACTGAACCAGCAGGAAGTTGGGAGAAAAAGGACTTGCAAAGAGATGCAAAAATGCACACATAAATACACATGTAGATTGGAAAGTTCTTTGGTGGGGAAAAAAACAAACAAACCCTTTCACCTCCAGGAAACAGCAGCTTTCACACTGAAAAGCCATTGCCACAAAAATTCAGCACAGTACTAATTACAAATACTGCTTATTTCATGTATTACATACAAAAACAAAAGAGAAATTCCTCTTGAGTTACCACAGGAGTTTCTAAAGGGGGATTGGGGGGGGGGGGCTGAAATCAGCAATAAAAACAAAAGCTTGTTAGTTTACAGTGCATGAAAATAATTGTGTGTGATGGCCTGTGACCATTTTGGAGGTCTATTTAATTTACACTTATTCAGTAAGAATATTATGAAACCAGGAGGAAAGCAGTACCGTAGTTAAATTAGCAACAATTGAAATGGAAATGCCACAAAACCAGAGCAGTGCAGGCTTGCATAAACAAAAAGAGATCAAAGAGGAAATGGACTGCGAAAAATACTGTGTGGAGTTGGTTAAAAATATGCTACAAAGGTCATTGGCTTTGCCTGGTGAAACAAAGCTCATAGTCTGGAGTGAAACAGAATGCTAGTATCATCTTGGAAGATATATGATAAAAGAAGAAGAAGTTTATTTTTCTACCCCGCCTCCATCTCCCCGAAGGGACTTGGGGCAGCTTACATGGGACCAAGCCCAGGCAAAATACAATTATAAGCAAAAAAATAACAAATTAAAATAGCATAAAACAGCATAACAACAATAATCAGCAAACATCAAGTCACAACAAGCTAATTTTGGAGGGAGGGAAGGGACCACTATGCAAACTGGTTAAAGAATAGGGGTTCAGTAAGGTGGATAAAAACATATGATAGCATAGGAAATGGCATGGAAACAGAGCAATTTAACAGGATCAGTTCAGCTTAAACTTAAGAATATATATAGTGATGTAATAAGGGAAAACTAAGTCACTTCTCCCCACAAAACAAGTACTGGATCCTAGAGAGAGACACTCAAGATGTAATGTCAACAAGTTCTTAACAAAAGAAAGAAAACAACATAAAAGCAGAGATGAAAAGCTGCCCTAGCAGATACAAGTAATCACTGTCTACACTTTAAAATGCATTTCATCAGTGATGTGAGATTACATCTGTGTGCAAAGGACTGCTTTCCAGCTAATAAGCTCAAGAAGGACTCTGTTTATGGCACTTGTTTTGAAATCTTTGCATTGCCTGCCAATGAGCGACTCACTGAGTCTAATACCATGTGTTAGTATTACTATGCGAAGTCCTACACAGCTCAGGATCTATGTATTTAAAAGAATACCCGACCCAATACCAACCTGCCAAGGATTTAAATACCAGCGGTGAAAGTTCTGCTTTTGGTGTCCCAAAGTACACAAGTCTACAACACGTGGCCAGGCTTTCTTGTTGGCACCAAGCTGGTTATGCAATTCCTTTCAATGAGAGATCTTGTTGTTCCTTACGCTCTTTGTTTTTTAAACACCAGTTAAAAATAAATCTGTAGAAGCTTTGAGGGGACTAAGCAAGTTATTTCATCTATTATTTCTGATTCTTTCTAAAACTATTAATGTATTTTAGTGGCTGTTTATAACTGAGGTATTTCTAATTTGTTTTTTTTTTTTAGAGTTTTAGAATTTAACTGTAGATTTTAATGGGGAGGTTTGGAATAGAAAAGATTTGTATTCTACATTATTTTATGATGGAACATACATTGGAATAACAACATAAAATGCAAATATTTTCTATTCCAAACCTTTCATCATTGACATCAAGTAAACTATGAAACTGAGAAGGAAGACAATCATCATCATCATAATTTAAAACCTCAATCTGGAATATCTCGTAGACTGTGAAAATGAGGACACTAGTTCACACTTTGATACCAAAGTCTTAAAACCTATGATGTATTTATATTCTATCTAGGATAAAAGAACGGATTTAAGAATGCCCAGAGCACAAGCAATTCTATAAGTGCTTTGCACTGAACACAAGCCACAATTCAACTGCCTCCATAGACCAACCTGACTTGCAGTGATAGTTGACTAGCCGAGCCACACAGCTTGCAATACAGCCTTGAAGAAGCATTTTTTTCATTAGCATCATTGTATTCATCCTGCTAGGCCAAAGATAATATTAAAAACACACTACTCTCACCTGTGTGTGTGTTATGTGAATCATTCAAGACCCCAACTAAAAATGCCAGATGTAATCTCACTTTTGATACAGGGAATGAGATCAAACCCACTAAATTATATAGGAATAATACTACTCTATCTTCATAATGCATTTTTGTGTATTACAGTTGCTTTGCATGCACTATCTTGTAAGCCGTGAAATAGCCAATATTATTATTCTTGTACTGGAAAAGGGGGTGGGGTGGATTTGAAGCTGAGAGACCACAGCTTGCCAAAGGCCATCTTGTGTCTTCAGATCCATGAAAAGAGCATGCATGTTAGATACTCCACAGGAGAAATGTGCTGTGATTGTGTGCTTTGCCACCACAAATTCAAATTAAACATTTCAAAGGACATTGCCAAATATTTTCAGATATACCACTTCACATGGAAGGGGAAAATATTCTTGTGTTTGTATCCTTGAGAAATAGGCCTCCTCCTGGCTGAAGAGGAAAGCATGTACATGTGGAGGCACGCAAAAGTCATGTGCCTGGGAAGCTATACCAATTGCATATTATTCTGCCTTGGTCAGACCACACTTGGAATACTGTGTCCAGATCTGGGCACTGTAATTTAAGGAAGGTGTTGACTCTAAGCTGGAATGTGTCCAGAGGAGGGCAATGAAAATGATCAAGGGTTTGGAGAACAAGCCCTATGAGGAGCAGTTCAGAGAGCTGGGCATGTTTAGCCTGAAGAAGAGAAGGCTGAGAGATGACATGGTAGCCATGTATAAATATGTGAGGGGAAGTCATAGGGAAGAGGGAGCAGGCTTGTTTTCTGCTGCTTTGGAGACTAGGATTCAGAACAATGGCTTCAAACTACAGGAAAGGAGATTCCACTCTAACATTAGGAAAAACTGACTCAGCTGTTCAGCAGTGGAACTCTCTGCCCCAGAGTGTGGTGGAGGCTCCTTCTTGGGAGGCTTTTAAACATAGGCTGGATGGCCATCTGTCAGGGGTGCTTTAATTTTCCTGCTTCTTGGCAAGGGGCTGGACTGGCTGGCCCACAAGGTGTTTTCCAACTCTATGATTCTATGACTCTAGGCCTCCTTGCACTGGAGAAAGGCATTGGGAGATCTCCTCACAGCAGGGTTATGATTTGCAAATCTGATGTTGTTCTTTGGACAACACAGGATATAACCAGGCTTTTAAGTATACTATTATCAAAATGTATCCCTAGAACTTTCAAGCTTCTAGGAATGGATACTGTGAGAAGTAAATTCTTCAGAACTGGTGTTATAAATTAACTCTTGGTATGATTTGAATCAAGAAGTCACAATGATTGCATATACAAACAATTAATCTGTCTCTGTTAGAGCTGTAAAATACCAAGGGTTGGGTTTTCCAAGTAACCCAAAGATGTAAAAAAACATGTTTATACACATGCTTAATAAAAATAAATAGGACCAGTGTGAACTCTTGAAATCACGTATTCCAGCTTTCAAAGTTGCTAATTTTAGACCTTATTCTACATTAATGTTCTTGTCAAACTATACAGGAACAGTTTCTAAGCTGCCATCACTTGATTTAAATTCCATAGATTAAAAAAAACATAACCAGTCTAACAGGTTTTAAAGTCGCATCCAGCCCTCTTGTTGATTTTCCTTTGTCAAATTAGAATGACTAACACACATAATGCAGTCGCTTTACATTAAACTGAGTTATATACTATGCTGGGAAAACAAAATAATACCACTCATAAAATAAAATTTTTATCAAAGTTTGAGACTGTTTTGGTCTGAGAGATGATAAAACAGGGTATGTACAGAAGGTCTGCATGTTCATAAAGAACTTCCATAGAAAACCACAGCCTTACCTGTTGAAGCATTTCTTCAGTAGCATTAAGCTTCAGCTGGTGCCCTTCAAGGCAAACTTCTAGGTCTCTGATTTTTTCTCCTTGGGCTTCCACTTGATCTGTGAGGACACTCACCTGTAATTGAAGGCAATCATCATCAATGTGAAGGAAAATATTTTATACTTTTAGTAATAAAATTTATTTATTTTAGTAATAAAAGTGTAAAGCTACACAGACAGATATTATTCGTTGCACTCCTTCGGGCTGAGGGCATATACATTATCAATGTGGCATTGAATTTTTGCCATTGTAAGGCTGTCCTGAGTCCCCTTTGGAGTGAGAAGGGTGGAGTACAAGTGTGGTAAATAAATAAATAAATAAATGGGATAACTCCACCATATTTTCAGAATAGATTACTATGAGAGGCAGCAATCAATTGGCCCAAGGTAACTGAGCTTTTTATCCCAAGTAGAATTTGAACCTATATCTTTCTTTTAAGTAGCTTCTCTGCTCCTCCTGGTATTATATACATTTATATATCACAGAAAGTTCTTAAATGATTGACTAAATTCAAAAAGACAAATCTGTTTCTTACCTTAAAAAGCCATTACACTACACTTTGAAAAGCATTGTTAAGCCTTCCTGAGTTTTAAAAAAAACAAAACAAAGATAGATTGTCTTCTTGAAGAACCAGAAAAACTGTATACAACATATCAGTGGAAATCATACATTAGTATTTTTAGTATATACACTCTCAAAGGAAAATGTTGTTTTAGAACTCTGATAATTTCTTAAATACGCTCCAAGCATGCGGAGCTCTTTCAGTTTCTGCCAAAACATTTCTCTCTAAACAGAAGAAAAAACAAGGAAAAGGTTCTTTAGGAAGCCAACCAATTATCTTCCTTCTTACAACACCGTGAGAACAGCTTACCTATCAATAAAGCTTTTTGTAACTATTAAACAACGTAACGAGCAAAAGACATGTTTTAACATTGGCATTGCTCTGCTTTCCACAGGTTCAAAGCATTACAAGCTTAAACATGAATGGAAACTTAGACAGTTCCTGTGAAACAAATAACTAAGAAACCCTTCAATTGAGATCTAAAAATGCTGCTGTCCCCCACAACAGAAAATGTGAACCACCAGATAAAAATATAAAAGGCAACTGAACCTAAATCTGAACCAGAAAAAAATGAAAGTTAATGTAGCTTTAAAAACAACTTTTGCACAACTTCTAGAAATTTAGATTTGTAAATGGTTTACGAGACTGCCTACCATACCGTAGAGCTCCAGACATTCACCTGAATAAACTTGAATTTTGGGAGTGAGGGAACTTACGGAGATTTGCTAAGTTTGCCTACCGCATTCTTTCTTTTTAAGAAGTTCGCTATTAATAAAAATTGGGAAATAAATATTACCGAGGCATGTGTCAGAGACACACCTTTTGTACCTTGGTAAAGGCATATAATTGTAGGCTTTTATGAGTAGCACAGCAAGCCCAGTCATATCTACATCTAAAAAGAGGTTTCTAAATTACTACTTGTTTAGTTGTCTTCAGCTGAGAGTTTATGGAGATTTATTAAATTCTTTTAAACTGGAATCACATGACCTCCTTTCCTTTAGGTTCTACAAGGGCCACAACGTAGGGCCCTTCCACACAGCCCTATATCCCAGAATATCAAGGCAGGAATGTGGACTCAGATAACCCAGTTCAAAGGAGATATTGTGGGATTTCCTGCCTTGATATTCTGGGATATGGGGCTGTGTGGAAGGGCCCTAAGTATTTATAAGTAGGCAGTATACAGGTTCTTCCACTGACTAGAACTATTTTCAAGGCAAATATCAACAGATTACAAGACATATATGATTTACTATCATGTGAATTGAATTTTACAAGATGCCGTAAACTACTAATAGCAAAATAACTAATAACTAAACGGTTACAATTACTTTTTGTTGAACTTCCAGCACTCAATACCTTACTATTCATACACCCTTTAAGAATCCCACCACCTCCATTTAGGATGAGCATGGGAGACAACACACACACCTCTTACATGAACTGTCAAGTTCCATATAAATTCAATATCCATTTGGAATACAAAGCTGATAACTGGAATCTTACAGGGTGCTGCATCAGAAAGTGATTTTTTCAAAGCAAGTTCTGAGGAATTCAGAATTGGACACAACCTTGAGTTCAAATCTTGCGGCCATATTAGACATTGCTCATCAAGCCACACTGGCATTATCAATTTAATCAACAGATTCATGCAAAAACCACATACAACAGCTTAATTGTGGAAGCTTCTATAGTGCAATTAAGGCAATTAAGTATGCAACAAAAATTATTCTGAACAGCATTTAATTTTATACTTTTTTTTTCAGGCACAGCCTGTAGGTACCTTCAAGTTGTCTGTCAATCTATGATGACCCATGAATTTCATAGGGATTTCTTAGGCAAGGAATACTAGACATGGCTTTTCCAGTTCCTTTTTCTGAAATACAGCCTACAACACTGTGTATTCATTGGCAACCTCCCATCTAAGTACTAAATCAGAGTAGAACGTACCAAACACACTTTAAGCTATGCCTCAGTCTGTCTTTGGGCATACTAGTGCACTCCATCACACAAATGGCCAAGATACTATATATATGTCAGATTGTAGTATAATAGTATTGCAGACAGAACTATGTTATATCTCTCACTTTCTGCCACTGCTAACCTCAAGACCATTCTATGGCTGGTGGAAAGTTGGGGAGGATCGGAAAAGTGTCTGGCTATGTTTTTGTACCCAGACACACTATTAAGGAGGATATCGAGGAGGGTGGAAGAGTATGTCAATTTTTTCAGCCACCAAAACAAAACATGAGCTTAGGCCTAGTATGGCCACAACAAGATGCTAGCCATTGCGTGAATCATGGCTTCCCAGATATACCTTCTGTGTCGGACTGCATGGAACTAGAATTTGTAAACTCTGTTTCAAAAGCTAACATATTAAAGTTACTTTATGGGGGGCAGGATCTTGACCACTGCAAATACTCAGTAATAGACCTTAGAAGGAAAGTATCAGTACCATATTTCTTTAATGGCAGATACAGTAGTTCTTAAACATGTTGCCCCCAAGCTCTGGTTTGGACATTCTAACCAGAAGAACCAAATACTGCTTCTAGGAGCTGGCAAATAAAGTGTGGCTATATCCAGAATTTTACTAGCCTATCATTGGGATCAGATTATACTTTGTTTTCAAAAAATTCAAAATATTGAAGTTGTCCTCAAAAGCTGAGAGAGAACTGTATCTCTTTTCTGCCAAATGCAAAAAGAAGTGCTCATATTCTACTTTAGACTACACAAGAGGGATAATGATTGTTTGACATTTTGGTATGCAAAAGGAGATAACATATTTGTTATTGGGCTCTTCTTGACAGTCAACAAACCATTAGAGGCCCTGTGTTTTGTTTTGTTTTTTAAAAAATGGGTGTCTTTTCTTCCTTCTATCCTTTTTAATGCTACGGATGCTCTAGTGACTTTGTAAAATGCCACACTGCTCTGTGATGCCATATAAATAAATTAGGTTATCTTGGAAAATGTGCTACAAGGACTGACATTGGGTACCCATGCTGCAACTATGCCAACACGGCTTATGTGTGTAAAATACAAACATGTAGTAAGTGCAATTTTATAAATAAGGAAGCAGTGTAATGAATCAAATGCATCTTCTCAAGAAGGACTCAGATTTTTTTAAAATGCTCATTGGTTCAATTCTTGATGAAAACAAAATTTAATACACCCAGAAATGTACTAGCTAGGATTCTCACTTTTCTTTTTCAGTATTGATAGTTAATAAAAGTATCCAAACCATCTTAAAAGTGAGAAGGATTTTCATGCAGGAAACTAAATTTAAAAGTTTATATAGGACACTACATTAGAGATGAAGTGATAACTACTAAGATCTTTCAATGCAGAACATTTTAAATGACATTTTAGCAAAGATAAATAGAAAAGGTTTAATCTAAATATTGCCTACATATCCTCCCAAAAAATCACACTGAGTAAGGCATAAAAAAGACTGCTTTGAAAAAAAGTGTAAATATTTCAAATAACATTGCAAAGTATTTTTTTCTGATGTTACCTTTCATCTACAATTGACTATACAAGCATATTCATGCAATTCCAGGGCTCACTGGAGGTTTGCAAATTACATACCTGTAATATGAGAGATTCTTTATCACCTTCTAATCTCGTCAGGCGTTCTTGATAAGTTTCATTACTGGCAGAAGTATGGTGACTCACCTGGGACTAAAGAGAACAATAAATTAATAACACAAGTAATTGAACTAGCAATTGTATTATTAGATGTAGACCAGAACTTCAAAGCAGAGTGTAATCATAGTTACATGAATATAAAATGAATGTATTACATAGCTTACAATTTTGTCGACAAACACTGTCAAGCCAAAAACATTTTAGTGGATTTTAAAATGTTTAATTTCCCACATTGCTTAGAATTCAACCACAAACCCCAACCTCTCTGAGAATGTTAGAGAGCATGGGGAGAATCAACAATAGATGTCCCATACAACAAGTAATAAGATTCCAGCTGCAATGTCAAATAACTGCTATCCAAACTGCACAGCTAACACAAACACACACACAACTGCATTTCAAACTCAATCTACTAATGCTTCTCCCTTTCCAAAATAAAAATGCATTAAAATTATACACATATGCAGCCCCAGACCCTGAAGCTCTGGAAACAGCTCAGCAAGGTGAGGTTTGCTGCACTTAAATGTAGTCTAGTCCAACAAAGACACAGTAACTTTGCTTAGTTGCAAGAGAAAAACAGAAAGTTTACTCTTTTCAGCAGAGTCACAACATAAACTTGTAGAGTATGGCTTCTTCTTCCAAACATGTATCCTAAAACACACACAGTTATACTCCACCGGGTGTGGTCCAAACTTACTTGCTGACCTAAATTAGCACCTGTACATAATGATCAGCAGTATGAGTTTTTCTTTTAACACATACATCCTTGGTGTTGGTTCTTTTAAAACTTAGTCCATTTCTGTATGCTCAACCAAGGCTGTATCTTTTGGGATGAACCCGCCACTCCTGGAAAATATTTTGAGATAATTCAGTGGGTTAAGGTTGTTGAGTTTGCTGGGTTAAGGGTGTTTGTGTGATATGGGTAAAGGCTTGATTATATGTTCATTGGGATTCTACTAGACGTGGACTGTCTACAGACGTCACATGCAACTCCTGAAACGATTCCATCAGCGCTGCCTCCGGAAAATCCTGCAAATCTCTTGGGAAGACAAGCGGACAAATGTTGGCGTGCTGGAAGAAGCAAAGACCATCAGCATTGAAGCGATGGTCCTCCGCCATCAACTCTGCTGGACCGACCACATTGTCCAGATGCCTGACCACCGTCTCCCAAAGCAGTTGCTGTACTCCGAACTCAAGAACAGAAAACGGAATGTTAGTGGACAGGAAAAGAGATTTAAAGATGGGCTCAAAGCCAATTTTTAAAACTATGGCATAGACACTGAGAACTGGGAAGCCCTGGCCCTTGAGTGCTCTAGCTGGAGGTCAGCTGTGACCAGAAGTGCTGTAGAATTTGAAGAGGCACAAATGGAGGGCGAAAGAGAGAAACATTCCAAGAGGAAGGCGCATCAAGCTAATCCCGACTGAGACCATCTTCCACCTGGAAACCAGTGCCCTCACTGCGGGAGAAGATGCAGATTAAGAATAGGGCTCCACAGTCACCTACGGACCCACCAGTACACTGATCCTGGAAGACTATCCTACTTGGACAATGAGGGATCGCCTAAGTAAGTAAGGAGTAAGTAGGATTCGACTGCGTCCAGGCCAGGTCCTCTACCTGAACACATGGCCATGGGGGGTGGGCATCTGCTAAGAGCAAGTGTGTCAGAGACTCCAGAGAGGGGCCATTAGTTCTTTATATGATGGTTATTCATCATTAGTGCAAACATTGCATCACTTTGGAAACTCTGAGGAACTATCCATAAGAAATCCAAACCAAATCACCCAGTTTAATGGTGGAGACTAAGTTAAATAATTTAAACCATTTTTTGACATAGAGTTAATTTATACATATATGTAGTTGCATGTATCTTATATTGTTAATAAATTACTTGTGTCTTGAGAGATATGACTTTTAGTACAATCCTCATATAACTTTCAATTTCTTAAAGTGTTCTATTCCCCATCTGGCACACCATTCTTTTCCTTGTCATTTATTCCTGTCTGCTTCTATGGTGAGTGAGAGCACTCCCAGACAGCCCTTAAACCCAGAAACATTTGCGTTATTAAAACACAGATCCCAGATCCTAGTCTACACACACGCCAGAAAGCGCATGTTCTCTCTGAACATTCCAGTACAACACCCGGACACTCTAACCCCCTCCTCAAAAGCCCTTTTAAAAGTAAAAGAACTTACCCAGCCTCTATTAGCATGGTGCTGAAGCTCTCCTGGCATGAAGAAATGAAGCGGCAGGAGAAAGGGAGGGGGAGGAAGAAAATCGCTCCTGCCACCCCCCGCTCTTCCGCTGCATCATTTCTACGGGCCAGGAGAGCTCCAGCACCACTTTAATGGAGGCTGGATAAGATATTTTACTTTTAAAGGGTATTTTGGGGAGGGGGTTGGTGTCCTCACAGTTTTCTAGGCCAATTTAGTCCAGAAATCCGTGGGACTACTGTCTGGTCTGCCCCCTGAAAAGCTCAGAACTTTTGAGGGAGCAGTCTAGACAGCAGAGGTAGTGGATTTATCCCGGGCCTTCCTGAAGGTGTGGAATAAACCCACTAACAATTTAATCCACCACAAACCAGAGTTTGTGGTGAAGTAGTTTGTGTTTCTCTAGGATGTCATCTGGACAACCCCCTTTTAATTGCGGGAACTCCCGCATTAAAGGGGCTGTCTGGATGCACCCCAAGAAACAAACATGCCCAACAGGTAGGGAAGAGGCATAAAAAGAGAGTATAGAAAGAAAAACCCATGGCTATCGCAGTTCTCATTATAAAGGGAGAATTTAAAAGACATGCATCGAGTGCAGGCATTGCGAGTTCTAATTTCTTTCCAGTTGCCTCTGACCCCCTCTCCCATTTCCATTTTATCCTCACGTCTACTCAGTGAAGAAGGTTAGCCAGAGAGACACTGACTGCCTAAGTGTCTCAGCTAAATTAAAATTTGAATTTTAGGACTGTACATTTGAACTTGAGGCTACATGCAGGTTATGAAACTGTCCTGAAATCAGTGTCATGTATGATTCACAGGAACAGAAGTGATAAACAGGCATTTATACACCCTTATCTAGAAATAATGTCCACAGAACTCAAACGGTCTTATTCTATTAGTCAGTGAAAGATCTTATTTCTAATAAAAGGGCTTTACGGGTTGTCTTATAAAAATCCAATGGCAGAACATCTAACATATGTTCAAGGGCACATATCCGATCACATATCAGGCTAGCACCAATGACCCTGGAAGTCCATAACAGGATAAACCTAGAGGTAAAAAACAACTTTGGTCTAATAGGAAGACATTAAAAAGCAGGTGCATTTTGCCTGTTACTTGAAATAGGTTTTGTCTCTTTCAGGACAATTCATTTAGTTCCAGATTAAGATTCATTTCTGCATTAAGTCATACATAGATAATGTATTACCATGCTTTCTACTCTAATGTATCTTTCTAAAATATCCCAGACTGAGAAGCAACATTAGCCAATGTCCACATCAGAGAAAGTAATCAAAAGGAAAAAAAAATAACAGCACTGCCAAAACATCAGCTACTGCCTGCTTTAATAAGAACAGACAAATGTAGTCCAGACTAGCTCACCTACAAAGCAAACATCTGCTCTTTTTCAATCAGCATCTTGTATGATGTCGGCTATTTTTATGGCAAGCGTAATGACAACATAATAAATAGTCACATAGCTCAAGGGTGTACATGTGTGCATGATACTGGAACCAAATGCTGCCATGGCTACACACAAGAAACTTCCTGTGGTCATTCAATGGTACGGGAGAGATAGCAAACCACTGCAACATCTGGTTTCTGCACTGTTGCATTTTTGAAGTTTTGGCAGCTGGCTATGTTTAAAGAATGTCGTATTCTATGAATACACATTTTCCTAAACTCAATAGTGGCTGCACAGTTATCCATACTTTTCCAGATAAATGCAAAAGCTTTGCCACATGGCTGGAAAAGCTGTTTTAGGCTTAAATATATAAAAACAGGCAAGACTACCAAAAAGTACTTTACAGAGGAAGTGGATAACATATCACCTAAGGCAGGGGTAGGGAACCTTTGGCCCTCCAGCTGTGGTGGACTTCAACTCCCACAATTCCTTGAGGCTCGGCATTCGCCCCAAAGGCTTACCTTGGCCCAATGCCGAGCCTCAAGGAATTGTGGGAGTTGAAGTCCACCACAGCTGGAGGGCCAAAGGTTCCCTACCCCTGCCCTAAGGTATATGTACCTGAGGATTCTGGAACCATTCAGAGATCAGTTTGCAAAAGCCTGTATAAGATAGAACACACATCTTCCCTATAGACAAGGAGTAGGGAGTATCTGCTACACCAGAGATCCTCAAATATTTTCCAGCCGCGGAGCCCTTTATGAAGTAAAAGTTTCTCGTGGAGCCCCAAGAAATGTTTATATATTATGTATAATGTATATATATAAGGCATGGGTAAACTTTTTGAACATCATAAACTTAACATGTGTTGTCGATGGCTTTTCTGAAAACAGGAATTCCAGACATTAAACAATCAGGGCCAGGTAACACCACCCAAAAAAGGATTCCTCCCAGGCAGGAATCAGCCTGGCCTTGAGCTGCAAGGCTTTTCAATGTTAATCAAGATGATTAACTGAAATATTTACACTCCAACAGACAAGAGTTCTTCCTCCCACCCTGGACCTTCCACAAATATATAAACTACCCTTGCCTAGTTTCCAATGTACCTCACAACCTCTGAGGATGCCTGCCTTAGATGTGGGTGAAATGTCAGAAGAGAATCTTCTGGAACATGGTCATACAGCCCGGAAAACTCACAGTAATGCATAAACTAGACAGTATTTCAGTGGAAGACCTCAGAGGCCATCCAGTACAATCCCCCCTTCTGTCACGCAGGAAAAGCACAACTGAAGCGCCTTCAACAGATGGCTATCCAGCCTTTGTAGTAACAACAAGAGCAGCAGCAGCAGCAGAAACCCCAGGGCCATCTAGTTCAACTCCCTTCTGCCATGCAGGAAAAGCAGTCAAAGCACCCCCGAGTGAAGG